ATTATTGTCTCTCCATATTTTAATAATAACTTTATGAAATTCAGAAGTAGGTTTGTAAAGATACATGTAAAAATTAGCATTTAAAAATAAATTAGTAATTCTGGAACATGTTTTACTATCAAAAGACAATATTTACAATAACCGCTAATCTTCTTTGCTTGCCACAATTAGCCATCTGGCAAATGGGATATAATTAGGTCATCATTTGGCAGTGTGATTTCAATAGACAGAATACTAATAACACAATGAGCCAAGTTCCATAATCTAATTCATTATCATTTCTCCAGCACTTCATTTTTGTTTTAAATGACTCTATTTGTTAATCATTTAACAACTCTTTGCTGAAGAAAAATAATGCAGCACAATCGCAATTGATAGGAAAACTACAAAATAAACACAAAATAATTTAGCCTTGGTCTGACAATTTCTAAAATGCCCATATTTTTAATTCAGCTTCCGATACCTGGTGACACAATTCACTCAGTGCATCTTTACTGGACTCCAACTGTGGATCAGCATCATGTCAGTGACTCCAAAATCAAGCACAAAGACAACATAGGCCCTGACATAAATGAGGCTAGAGAAAAAAAGTGAGAAATACAAATTCAAGTTTTAAAGTAAAAAGACAGTTCAGAATAATTACGTTTTCTGGAGACTAGTAGTAGCCAGAAAACTGTTCATAAAATGGGCCATAAAGATGTGTTAAAGTTTGTCAGGTGATCAACTGGTTATGGAAATTTTAAAAAATAGGAGCCTAGATTGACCTACCTTCCTTTCCTTCTTGTCTCCTTTTCTTTCCTCTTTTCTTTTCTCTTCATTTTTGCTAAATTAACAATGTAGGTCAGGGGTGTCAAACTCATTTTCACTGGGGGCCACATCAGCCTCATGGTTACCTTCAAAGGGCCAAGTGTGATTTTAGGACTGTGTAACTGTAACTGCTCCTTAACGGGTAAGTGAGAGCTCGGCACTACCACCAGGTAGAAACAAGGTGCTGGGCCAGATAAAACAAGGTGGAGGGCCGGATTTGGCCCACGGGCCTTGTGTTTGCCACCTGTGATGCAGCTGGTAGCTTTAATCAGTGTGGCTAAATCATGGAAGTAGCATATTGGGGAAAAGAGTAATGAGTTCAATTTCTATGTGGCTGAACCCAAGGCATGATTGTATTTCATAAATAAAATTCACAAAATTTTGGCCCTGGCTGGTGTGGCTCAGTTGGTTGGCATGCTGTCCCGCAGACCCAAAAGGTTGCAGCTTTGATTTTGTCAGGGCACATACCCAGGTTGTGGGCTCTGTCGCCATTTTGGGCACATACAAGAAGGCAACTCATTGATGTTTTTCTCTCACATTGATGTTTCGCTCTTTCCCTTTCTCTCTCTCTAAAAGCAATGGAAAAAATGTGCTCAGGTGAAGATAAAGAAAAATTCCCAAAATTTCTTTTCATGGTCAGAAGCTAATAAAGACACAATATAGTTGAAATGATGGGAGTAAAGAAGATGGTCAGAAAGAATTCACTGAGTAAGAATTGACAAGACCTGAGCCCTGGCTGGTGTGGTTCAGTGGATTGAGCACCAACCTGTAAACCAAAGGGTCACCAGTTTGATTCCCAGTCAGTCAGGGCCCATGACTGGGTTGCAGGCCAGGTCCCCAGTAAGGGACACATAAGAGGCAACCACACATTGATGTTTCTCTCCCCCTCTTTCCCCCCCCCCCTCTGTCTAAAAATAAAATAAATAAAATCTAAAAAAAAAAAATTGACAAGAGCTGAGAATGGAGTTCTGGGACAATGTTTATATTACGTGATGAGGAGAGAATCCAGCAAAGTATCTTAAATAGGAATTGTCAAGAGTATAAGTGAAGCAGAAGGTAACATTATAGAAACAAACAAACAAGAATGAGAAGAAAGGTGAACCTGTCAGTTTTTTTCTGCACTGATGCTGTATAACAGAACACAAAATATTAGCGGTTATAGAAAACATGGGGTTTGTTTTGCATATTTATCTTTGGGTAAGTGTCTTCCACATGACCTAAGTAGTACATGATCTAAGTAGTACATGACCTAAGTAATACAGTTTGCTGACCACACCTTCACTGAATGGGTATGTTCTTCTCAAAGCATGTGGAAAAGCACAATAAGCCAAGCATACTTAAACCCCTTGCTCATCTCATATCCACTAACATTCTATTAGTCAAAGCAAGACACCTATCAAAGGACTAGAGAGATATATATTTAGATATATACTTTAGTAATACAGAATAGTATCACCTATTTTAGTAATAGAGGTTTTGCAAAGTCATCTAGAAAAGGGCATCATGGATTTATTATTAACAAAGTGAAGAACTGAAAACTATAATCCAATCCAATTTACAACAGAAGAATGTGATCAACTGTCAGAGATCAAGTAGAGGAATGAAACTGAGAAGAATTTATTGTTATATATAGCTATAGACTCATTTCCCAGTATAAGGTTTGGAGAAAATAAAAATTCCCTATGGCATTGATTCTCTATTTTGTAGAGAAATGGAAATGGCTGGGGATATATCTTTAAGAAAAACCTGTACATAAAACCAGACCAATTAAATCAATGTTTCTGAAGCTGAAATGCAGAGTTTTTAAGAAACTCTTTTATAGCTCCTCAGGTGATTCTAATGTACAAGAACAATTTACAGTAAATATTCCCACTTTGCAGGAGATGTTAAAGGAAAAGATGAACAACTATAATGTCACTTTACAGTAGAGTTCCGATTTTACGCATATGCACGTGTGTATGGTAGAACGTCTGTGGTGTGTGTGCGGGCACCGAAAGGTAGAGAGATGAACACAAACATCATGGTCATCTGTGGATATGCAGAGTGTAAATCCTTTTTATTTTACTCTATTTGTATTTAAATCTTCTGCAGAAAAATGTACGAATTATAAAATCTGTGATAGTAAATAAACATTACTAAATATGAATTCAGATGAACATAGATGCTTAGAGAGGAAACTGTAAGATATTAGTAACATATGAAAACAGAAGGATCTTCTAGAAATAAGGTAAAAATCGTGTGTTTTGGAAACCTGAAGGAAAAGAAGGAACTGAGAGCCAACTCAGTTTTCCATCAGTAGTCAGCATATTCTAAAAAATCATGAGTTACGCTGAAATGTAGTAATGCGCTTTCCTTTGAATCTAAACAATTCAAGATTTAAACCCAGAATTGTGGCATGAGGGTCTGACTGTGCTCCAGAACATCAGATGACAATAAGACTGAGAATAAGTTAGTGACAGTCTAGTGTCCAATACACATTTATTCTCACTGCCTTTCATGAAGCTTAATATGTTAAAATGGATCTTTTCATACAATGAAATGGGATAATTTTTCATCTCAGTTTCATCTTATTAGGCATCCTGTACCTCTCCCCTTGATGACAAAAATAAAACATACCATTTCAACAGAAAAAAAATGCAGAAAACTGGAATAAAATGGAGATGAGGGAGAAGTAGCAATTGCCAAAAGTTTGGATATATAAATATGCAAATGTAATATATCCTAGGCTTTACCCCAGTTGATTTGTTGAGCCTTCACTAAAGATATGGGCAAATTTATGGCCCATTTTCACACATCTTTCTAAAAAATTATTTTGTTTTTGAGCACTAAGAGAGGAATACTAGGTGCATTTTTGTAAATAAATGTTCCTGTGGTTGTGAGGTCTAGGCACATATGTTTCAAGTATAAATGTTTTCTGCTGGGAACTCTATAGAAAGCCTATTATCGAGAATTAGATGATTTCATGCCTCATAAGTTTAATACTAACTGGCAGAAGTCAAAAGAAATTAACTTTTTTTGCAACTGTTTCAGAACTCCAAACATTGTACCAAACATCCTAGTTTTTCAAAATTGACTGGATAGAATAGTCTATTTGTAGTTAATACTTATATTGAATTCCCAACTAATCATTGCTGTTGCTTTTAGTATTGCTGTCATTATTGTTCTCACTATGAAATGTGAACCAAATATATGGCCCTTTGACTACAAAAGACAATCTACACCTCCAAAACCACTCATGGCTAAAACCAGTGTTGCAAAAATAACTTTTTTAATACTATCCTAAATACTTCTGTTATAAATATTAATATTACTAAAGAAAACAGGAAGGCTATTATTATAAAATATAATTACAAAAATGTTTTAAATAATTCATATTTTCCTTTCATAAGAAACTCTGAATATTTACAGTCTAATTAAGTACGTTCAGCAGCTGCCCTGAGCATGTTCATGACAGAAATGAAGTATATAAATCCCCAACCCCACATCTCAAACATGAAACTACACTGTATCTTCCATTTACTCAGGGGCAAGATTCAGGGAGCAAAGCCACATGAACTCCCCCATAATTCTGCTAATGACCGTCACTTAGTAGAGAGAACTTTCCCCTTATACAGAAGTCATCAACCTGAAAACACTAAAAGATTTCCATACTCAAATTGAGCTTTAAGTTCTACCCTAACACCCTTTCAATCACTATTGACCTCAAGAGAGAGAACAGCAGCCATTGTGCTCAGCATGCAGTAATCCTACACTAGTCAGGAAGCAGGAGAAATAACCCTTCTCCCAGCTGAAGCCTCAAAGGCAGGCCAACTTCTTGTTATATTAGTCAGAATACCAGTATAGGACAGCACCATTCACTGAAAAAGCAGTAAGAAAGTTCCCCATCATAGGAACTCATTTCAGTCTGACTTCTAAGAAACAGTAGACTTAAGATTTGTTCATTTCAGCATAGAGGGATAAAGTTACCATTTCTTTAAATTAGTACAAGCTATTGAGGCAGGGTATATTTACTCAGGGAACGAGGTTATAGTTAATTTCACCTAGAAAACGAGTGAACAACGAAGATCTGTAACCAGCTCAGAACAAGATAGTGCCTGTGTGCTTTGTTAAGTATGAAGAAAAATTGGAAAACTCAAGGTGCCAAATATGATTTCAAACAATAAAACTGTTCCTCCCCTCAAGGTACCCGTGGGCACTGCTTTTGCTCATTCACCGCATTGCAAAAAATCTATTGCACCGGGGCCAGGCTAATCTTCTTTGTATCGTTCCAATTTTAGTATATGTGCTGCCCAAGCAAGCACCGTATGATCTCACTTATAAGAAGAATCTAATGATCAAAATAAACTAACAAGCACAACAGAACCAGACGTGGAAACAGGGAAGAGACTGACAGCTGCCAGAGGAAAGGAGGAGGGGGAATGAAGGGGAAGAGAGTAGTCAAGGAACATGTATAAATGACCCATGGACACGGACAACAGGGTGGGGATGAACTATGGGAATGGGGGTGTGGGCTGGATGAAGGAGGGCAAAGGGGAAAAATGGGACAACTGTAATAGAATAAACAAAAACAAACAAATAAATAAATAAATAAATAAATAAATAAATAAATAAAATTGATTGCAACTTGATGGTTCCATAGAAGAAATAACTGTTCATTGCACTGAAGCAAGTCTCCTCGGTTTTGAAAAATTTTAAATAGAAAATGCCACAACCATATATGGCATTTAAAATACTGTATTTTTATACATTGGTTTTGAGAATAGCTATTTAATCATATTTAATAAATTGAAATCATTATTACAGATATAATCTTAGAAAATAGAATTTGTTTTGGACTTCAGCATAGATGAGAGTGTTTCTACAAACATTTTTTTCTGTAATTGAAATGTTATTTACCTCTTTCTAACAGAGTGAGCTGTCTCTATGGAATGGTATTTAAAGGTATTGCTGAATTTTCATTTGCTCTATCCTGGCTGTGAATACCCCCTGACATGTGCCGCCCCCCTCCATTTTTTCTTAGATGTTATGAAAGGGCAAACTCAAATATCCAGTGTTTTCTTAAAAATGTCATTCATCACATGGCTAAACCCATCCATTTATTGTAAATCAGTATTGAGAGAGGTTTAAGAAGAGGCTTAGGAATAACTCACATGTGACATTAAGTCTAAAAGAAATTCAACCTGCAATCTGCTGAAAGTCAGAGATCCTACTTGCACTATGTATGATTTACAATTCATTACTCATATTTCTCTTTTTCTAAATGTGTGCTTAGAGTCTTAAATGAGTTAGAACATTTACCTAAAAAATCTACTCTGTTAAATTTCCATAGTGAGAACCATTGACCATTTTCCATGAAGCAATAGATCACATTTGAAAAGACCAATCTGCTGCTAGCCATTTGACATCTGAGTGGCATACATTCCAGAGGGAAGTTTAATTATACATCTGAGTCCCACTCACCCATTTGGCAGAGATTCATTTGAGTTTTATTAAACACAAACTTGAAAACCTGAAATATTGCTTTACTTTTTATTCTTTATTATCCATCAAGAAAGTAGAGTTTGGAAGCTGAAGTTCAAACTCTTGTAGATTTAACTTCTCTTTCTTGCTTTGAAACTAACTTCATTCCAGAAGGGAAAACAGATTTTTCTTCTGAATACTTTAGGTCAGGTAACTTTTCTAGGAATTCTGTCTGCCCTACTCCAGGCCTCAGGTTACACAGTGAGAATAGAGTCCCCTTACTGAGAACTTTTGCAATATTCCCCATCAAAAGCACAACTTTAAAACATTTTGTTGAAGTGCTAAGCATAGGTTTAAGGATATTTCAGCATGTGAATTATAATCAATGGGTCTCAACTCTCTTTGACCCTCAGAGTTGAGTCATTCATTCAAATGATATTCCAAGTGGTTGAGAATATTCTATGACTTTCTGGAAGACTTGAAATCTGTTTGATTTGTGTTTGATTTGTCACTATGTGTGTGATGTTGGGCAAAGCACTCAAACACTTTAGAAAACTCAAACAGTTTTCTTATCTTTAAAATGGACATGATAACAGTAATTTCCCTCCAAATTTGTTGAGAATCAAATAGAATAATATGTGTAAAATACTTAGGCCAGTTCCAGACACACAGTAAAAGGAGGATAAATAGTCACATACAATGGTCCAGATGCTATATTTCTCTCTAGGAATCTAAAATTGAACAAGTTGGTGCTGCAAAAAGTTCATAAATTCATAATCTTGTGAGATACAGGCAAGAAACATACTATTAATAAATATAAAAAGTGTAGGGAAACAAATAGGTTACTATGGGAACCCAGACAAGGGGGAAAACTCCAACCCAGAAAAGGCAAAGAGGAGGGTGACAAATGGTGTCTAAACAGAAGCCTGAAATGTGGGGAAGATTTGGTTAGGCTATTTAAAGGAAGAGGGCTATGAGAAGTACAAGGGGAAAGAGAATGCATGTGATCCAATGTGTCCCAATGACGTAAGCCCCTGAGAAGCCAAGGGCTAGGAACTGGCAGTTATCCTCGCATCCTTTTCCCTTTGAGAACAGAAGGCAAACCTTGCTTTCCGCCTAAGCCACACACAAGAATTTTTGGAACCCATACAAGTTACAGCATTGTGCTTCTGTCCAAGCCTCACTAAATTTCTTCTTTCACCTTGAGGCATACTAGGTAGGAAAAATGAATGGTCAGAGGTAAGAGGTATGGCGAATACACTAAAAGCTGCTAGGAGAAAAAGGAGAACAACTTATTCTTTTCTGTCCTCCAGACCAAGCAGTGCAAGGAGAGTGGAAAACAGCCACCACTTGAAACAGCTTCCAGGAAAGCAGTGAGAGATATGTTTCTGATGGACCAAAATGGTAGAGACAGAAGGGATTTCTCTGATCCATGTGAGTTGCAGGGGACAAATCATGACGATTTGAGAAATTGAAGAATAGTGATGTCAGAGATGGAAATGTAGACTCTTTTGGAGACTGGAACAGAGAGGATGGAGAATGACAGACTTACCCTTCTTGTACCAACTAAAATAAAAAGGTATCAAAACTGGTTTTATGTCAAATATATTCTTAAAGGGCAGGGATCTAACAGTCCAGGCATCAGACTCTTGTAAAGGGAAACTGGCCTTTGGCCTTGGACTTTTAAGCCCCATTACTGGGGATAAACCAGTGCCTCTTTTATTGTGATCAGTAACTGGGATCCAAGCCTTATAGTTACAGAGGTGTAAGACAGGGCAGAATCTTGACTTTCCATTCTACCCTGCTATGTGATTATTAATTGTTGGGTGAATACCAACCCTTTCCCTAACATTACCAAGGGATTTTAGAGGATTCTACTTCAGCAACAGAAAAACTGTATACCATACCAGTGACTTTCAGCTCAATTCAGTCATCTCCAAACCAAGAGAGGATTACTTTACCTCTTGGTTTTGCCAAAGGCTGTCTTTTTCTATAGGGGGCCAGATGAAGTAGGATTAGTGCTGATTAAATTACCCATAATTGTTAGGCTATGCTCATGTAAAATACCCTAGTCTCTAAGCCACTGCTATAATTTTTGTCCATTAGACTTGTGATGCTGGTCACTGACTGTGGTTAGAGGACAGTTAAATATAGTCAGGCCCATGAATAGGAAAAGGAAGGATGTGAATTGTGCATGTGGCTCTCTACTAAACCAGAAGCCAGGACAGCCAAGACCAAGACAATAGAAGAGGTAATATGTGTTTATTAAGGCACCTAGACAATCATTCTGCCATATCTGGAAGACTGATTCATTAAAAAAGTACTTACTGAGCTACCCTGGTCAAGAATGATCTTCTTTATCACTGGTATTAATCTATATGTGGCATGACCATATAATGTATTGTCCAAACCATGTCAAATTTAAATGTCAAAGGAGGTACTTATTCAAAATTCCACTCCCGTTCAACAAGTGTAAATCAGAATGTTCCAAGCAAACAAGAATATATTGTCACTCTACATATATGTCTGGTCAAGAAGCAGACTACTGCTTGGCTGGTCAGTGAATAATCAAAAAGTAATCTCATTATCTAAAATCATGCTGACCAATGAATGGGTAGAGACTAATCTGTTACCTCTGAGGCTCAGGTTTCTTTGTTATTTAGCCTCTCATAGCTTACAGACCCTCTATTGTCATTGACTTTGTTATCTTTTACTCAAGAATTACCCACAAATAATATTGTGGCATTCTATCACTCTTATAAACCCTCGGCAGCCAGGGATCGGCCATAACTCCTGGAAGGGAGCCCTAGAAAACTGAAAATCGAGGGTAATTGTTTCCAGGGATCAGCCCTTATGAATACAAGGCTGTCAGGGGGAAAATATCTGTACACATAGGATAAATAGCCTGTGGGAGTCTTGTTATCAAGCAAAAAGAAGCATAAATTGTTAAAAGCGTCAACTGTCCAAAGGCTGTTTTTCCCATAATGTACACAAGCATCACAGGTAGTTGAACAAGGCTATTTATGGCTGCAATGAATTAGAGAAATGCTGAGCAAGAGAGGAATAAATAAAAACACCATGAGGGTCAAAGGAGGAAATGATCAATTCCAATGAGGAAAAGGTGCTTTACATAGGTCTGAAAGGATGTTGAACATTTAAATATATAAAATAAACAAGTAGAGGAGGGCATTGGAGGCAGAAGGGATAAAATGTATAAAGTTATAAAAAAATCAAATTTCAGAAAACTAAACATAATTCAATATGTCTATCAATAACAGTGATTAGTATAATTCAACATGGTCCACACTCTATACCACATCCAAGTCTAAGAAACAATCACCTGACTCCATGTGTTTTTAAGAATGCTACAGATCTTTCCAAAAAATTTCTTTAAAAGAGAGGCATGACTGTTTTACATAGCACCTTGCAGAAGAAACTTTTAATGCACCCTTTTAGATGGTTCTCTCGCCCCACAAAGTTTCCCGATCTAGGGAGCTACTAAAATTCTCCTCACTTTCTCTCTGTTGCTCTCTCACTACCATATTATCCCTCCACGCATTTCCTATCTCCCTGTGTCATTCTACATACAGGCTGTTTGGGATGAAGGTAATCACCTGGACTCCCGCCTTCCCCTGTCTGCAGGACCAGACTCTCTGAAAGCACTGTAGTACCTAATGATTCCACAGTCCCTGTGAAGGACTCTTCTTGCTGAGAAAATGTACCAAGCCCTGGGAAGTAAGGTTTTATCTCTCTGGTCTTTTGCAGGGAATCAGTCTATTAGCCATATTCCTCACAGCGAGAATGAGCTCTGATGACTCTGAGTTGCAGAGAGCAAAAGACA